CACCCGTGGCCGCTTTGATGATGGCTGGGCTTGCGGGTGCCGGGAAAGCATCCTTGCGAACGCGGCCGCCTGGTTCTTCTGCTGCGCAGCTATCCTCTCCTCTCCGCATTTGTCTTTCGACCCGCTTTTTGTGCGCCATCCGTGGGTTTTGATCCTGGATTTTGCCCCATGGGGAGCGCTGGCTCCACGGTTGCTGTGGGAGGGCTGTTGTGCTTTCCGTTGTGGTCTGTGTTGNGTTTTTCATCTCGGGATGTGCTGTTGACCAATAAAATTGCGTCGTTTTTCACTTTTGTTGCCCTGCCTATGGGCCCGATGGGTTTGTATGTGTGCAACCTTTCACGGCACGGCGCCCCCGTCACACACACACACCCCTCCTCCCGTCGACGCCATGCCGTGATGCCTCTTCCCGCCGCCACCACGCCAGGAGAACAAAAACATTTATTTGCCCAAAACGGACAGCATCCATCGCACGACAGCGAGACGCATTACACGCGAGAGGGAGGAGACAGTGAGCCAGGTGGATCCGGCGGGGCCCAGCTTGAATCATGCCAAAGGCGAAGCCTGCCGCTTTGGCGGCCGCTAACAAAGACCTTCCTCAAAGTGAGACACATCAACAAGCGCTTGGGTGTGGCAAAAAACGCACGCATACATACTCTCCTCTGCCGTTGTTGTTGTTGTTCATTTGTCTGGGGTGGTCTAAAGAAGTAGCTTTAAGTTTCGTTATTGTGGCAAGCCGCATGATCTCCCCCCTGGGGATGGAGGGGTTGCGAATCTCCCGACCAAAGCCTGCATGTATGCCGTTGATGGAATCGAAAGGAGAGGCGGCAACCCAACGTGCTTGTTTGCGCCCGCCCGAAGTTTGTCCTACACAAGGAGGGAGAGCTGCGGCGCAGTTTGTCCGCGACAGCCATGTTCTTGTTTCCCATTTCCCCTGGCCAGGATGTTGGCCTGCGTGGCTTCACCCACGGTGCTCTTTCCCCCTCCCTCTCGTTGGTGCACTAAGAGGTATCCCAACTCACTACAATGTATCTTATTCGGCAGTCACTATGCATTTCTGCGGCCTGTTCTTGACTCGGTCTGCTTGGTTTGCCGTCTCTCCCCCTTATTTTGTGCGTGCTTTTTTTTGCTGTTTTTTTTTCTCTCTCTCCCGCCCCTATCCCTGCCCCCCCCCGGCCAGACTGGGAAGCTCGCGACGTGAAGGGAAGAATTGTTTACATCAACCACACCACAAGGGTGAGCTTTGTCAGCAAACCTCTTGTTCGTTTTAAGTACATCCCGCCTGGAGTAAAAGAAACCCGCTGTTGCCCGGTGGAAATTGAATATTTTTTTCTTTTTTAAGACGACCGACCAAAGCGGGTGGTGCCGCCAGGAAAAGCGGCGGCAGAGAGGGAGGTTCAACATACACGATGTGCTAAATTCCATCCTCTGTTGCTGTGCGGCTCCTGTTGTTGCTGCACCCTCGCTTTGCTGCGACGTGTTCACTGGCGCGCACTTTCATTCCCAAAAATACGTGCTCCCAGATGCTGCAGGATTAGCAATCACCTCAGAAGCTGTGGTGTGTGAGCAGGCATCATAAGTACACACATGTCGAAAACTGATTTTTGTGTGCACTGCTGTTCGCGAGCAACTTGCCGTGTAGGTAACATTGAACAAAAAATTATTTGTCATCCATGAAGGCACCGGCGAAGCGTTTGCTGCGCATGTAAACACACATGATGGCAAAAAACAACGACCCTCTGGCTCAACGTTGGGCAATGCCGCTGACAAGGCCAACGTCGATCATACCACCTCGCTACTACTGTTCCATCTCCTGCTTTCCGTTTGGACAAAGAGTTTTTTTTTTTTTTTCTCCCATCATTGGACTCTGTCGTCTGCCCCTCTGGCCCCTATCCTCCACTTCTACTAGCTAGACGACCCAACCGGGGTCACATAGGAGGGGGGGGTTGGACCCCCTCCTGCGGTTCATGCCTGAGGGATTTTTATCGCGAGAAGGGTACAGCAATCCCTTCCCTCGCGACTTACGAAGTCGATTATGGTTTACTAACAAACGAGCTTTGCAGCGCGTCGCTTTCATCCTAGACCAGGATTTATTTAGTGAGATGTAAGCTTGAAATTGTATGCCTAATGACACTCGAGTTCCACGGCGTACATTGTCTACTACTCTACAACGTGATCGGTGTAAAACTTCGATATCGACAATTGGCCGGTTCTTACACTACAGACCATCGCGTCAGCAGTCCGGTCACAGCATTGTCGCTAACTGGAGTCGTGCCCTCTTAGAACGGTTTCATCTGCTGTTGGAGAAAATACTGTGCCCCAGTGGGCCGGGTTGTGTTCATACAGCAGTATTTAGTCTTGACACATGATACACACACACACACCCCGGACGCGCGTTCAAAACCAGACCACGCAATGGAGCAAGCCCAAGTTTTCGACCAAGAAGAGAGCGGCCACGGCGGAGCCGGTGGCCAGTGCGCACAGCAAGAGTGCGTCCGGCAGGGCCAACGGGGGCGCCGCCTCCGGGGCCGCTGGCAGGGGCAGCTCAGCAGCAAGGCCCGCGGCGGCAACACAAACCCGCCTGGGGGGAGCGAGCGTTAGCAACAGCGTTCCCTGGAGCAACTTGCCCGCCCCCGCCGGCGTCGCGTCCCGCGCGCTTACCACGGTATCATCGCCGTTGCCCGCAGGTGAGGCGACCCCCGCGGTCTCTACGAGCGAGAGAGCTCAACCGTCTCTGTGTCCTCGTACGGCAGCAGATGCAAAACCTTGTGTTTTGTAGTTCATAGCGTTGCCGTTGGTGAAACATTTGTAATGAAACCCCCAAGATTTTTGTTTGGTCATGCGCTCAAACATGTCCGCCACATGGGATGAGGCTTGCACGCGTTCTGCTGCTGTTTTTGACATTTTGTGTGTATTCCATGGTGTTTATAGGAAATCCCGCGGCGTTGCTGTTGCTGTTGCCGCCGCCGCCTTAATCATGAGGAGTTGCAATTGTTTTGACCTTGTTGATTTTGGTACGCCGTTTGAGAGAGAAGACCGACCCCAATCGCGTGTTGAATTGTGATGAGTTTCTTGTCAGGACACTCAAGGGCGTGGAATGCGCCCGCATGTTTATCATTAGCATGGCCCGCGCTACCCGGCTGACCAATGAAAAGACATCAGTCTCAGTGCGGCTAAAACTACTTACCATGTGTTTGGTTGTCGGTAACTTATTTTCCTGCTCGCTCGCGTGTATGTTTTGTCAGGTTGGGAGAGCAAAATTATCGATGGGAGGGTGGTGTACATCGATCACACTAACCAGGTGAGGAACGTGAAGTGAAAAACATGATACAGCAGAAGGGGATCCTGTTTACGGCCGCCTATTTCAAGCCGGTTGCCCCGTTTCAGGCCGGTGAAATCGCTTCGCACAAATGGAATATTCAAGTTGTCTTAAACTCTGAATTGCGCCGGGTGCCCAATATAAGGCCGTGTTTTCCCTTGAACCGTAGCTGCCTCGAACAGGGACTTCTGCTTGGATATATGGTCGGGGTTGCTGTTGCCCTTGAATCGTTGCAGCGTTTACACAAGGGCCTCTACTCTGTGTACCAAGTACACCAGCAATAGGTTCGTTCGTGGCCGTGTGAATGTGGGTACGGCCGTGCCTGTGTCTCGTGTTGCAGGTTGTCGTTAGCGTTGTCCGACGGCGAACGTTTTGCGATCCTTGCGCTCAACCGGAGTAGTCGTCGACGAAGGCACTAAGAACCGCACGTTTCTCGTTGCGCTTCAACAGCAGAGCTTGTCCCTGTCTGAACCGTCTACAGCAGTAGCACTCCCGAGTTTTGACGGCATCGTGTCCTCCGCAAATGATTGTCCCCAGCTTTTGTCCTCTCAGACCTTACACTGCGTCGCTTGTAACGTATGGTGCGGTTGCACTCTGTCGCCACAACGTGGTTTGTGTCGTTTCAGAGAACCTCCTTCGAGCGACCCCGCGGGCAGGCCGGAGGGTTGCCCCAGCAGCCAAGGCCTCTTAGCGCGAGACGCCAGATGGGCATTGACGTGGGTGGCGAGCTGGTGCCACACTCCAACGGCGCTGAGAACCTGGGTAGGTACATTCCTGGTGCAGGGGTGCATGCGCGATTGGTGGTTGTACTCCGTGATCTCCACTCCACGGATCTGTGCATTCCTCTACAGGGAGTTGTCCGACGTATTTGGTACCTACAGCCGCTGGGCGTTTGGACGTACCAAACAATAGGAAGAATGATGGAAGGCTCCTGTGCGGCCTTCTCCCCGAGTGACCCCGGCTGATGCTTCGTGAAAACCAAACCGGGACGTGCAAATTTTTGACTTGCAGGATGAGGTAAATAGGACGCCACACACACACGTGTAAACGTCTTCCCTTCGTGCTTCCTAGGGTGCCGCATTCTGTTCTGTTGGCAGTGGACGCGCTTCTCTTGGCAGCAGCACCAGCAGCACCAGCAGCAGCACCGCCACACAGAGCAGTAGAAGCAGAAGTAGACAGCGTAGGACGCACACGACAGCGGTGCAGGTTACGCCGTCCACGTGTTTCTTTTAAGCCTCGCCGTTTCCAGGGTTGGCACACAAAGAGAAGTGGCGTGATTTGATGAGCAGGTTCATGTGGGCCGTTGTGTTGCTGGTGCACTCTGCGATGCCTCTTCTGTTTTGTTTCGGCTCTCGTTTTTTGTGTACGTTCTTTCTGGCTGTTCTGAGGTCGTTCACTACTAAAACGTTACGCCGTGTGTGTTGGGCTGCGCACATGTTCCAGTTGTGAGGTCGTTCACTAGTCAACCTTTTACGCTGTGTGTGTGGGGCTGCACGTTGCTGCCGCTGCTGCTTCGATTGTGCAGGTTCTTCCCGGGGGAGTCATGGGAGCGGACACGTGATAGACCCTATCTACGCCTCAAACGCGAGTTCTGCCGCCGGAGACTCGCCGCTTCCGCCGGGTTAGTCCGCCCCCCGTCGTCAGTCATTCCGCGAAGTTCTTGCTCGATGTGGTTATTTTCCAACTCCTGGCTTTCGTGCATGTTGTCACGTTTTTTTCGGTTTCGTGTTTTTAATTTGTGTTTTTTCACGTTCTATTGCCGATCGGTCCAGATGTTTTGTATCGAAACCTTGCCTGAAATTTTCAAGTCTGTTTTTGTGAACCGCGCGCAGGCTGGGGGAGGAGCGTCACCCGTCAAGGGGAGGTTTACTACGTTAACCACGTGTCGAAGACTACCACATGGTCGAGGCCACAGTGGACGAGAGGCTCGGATGGAGACGAGGAATGTGAGATCCGAGACGCAAAAACGCTCTCTGGTTTTTAGGAATACGTCTTTGGTGCCCTCACACAAAGGGGGATACGAGGGGCAAAAAGATGAAAACCCCAAGAGACCAAACGAAGACATGGGCAACACGAACTTGACAAAGAGGGAAAAGAGAGGTAAACAGGGTTGTACAGTAGAACGAGGTGCAACACCTTGGAAAAGTTGGAAAGGAGACATGTCTTTTGTTCTCGATGCCATTCTCGTGTCTCCCCTCTAAAGCCCAACCCGAGGTACCGATCCCGGGGTACCGATCCTGTCCCATCGATGTCCGCAGGCAGCCCTCAGCTTGATCGACGCTTGGTTTGTTTGTTTGTATTTTGTTCCGGGTTGGCAGCGGTTCATGGGGACGGGGCGAGAAATCCAGAAAGCCTCGCGAGCATCAAGAGCGGAAAGAGCACAAGGAGCAGGCGCGGCGAAATGCTGGGAAAGTTCGCCGAGTCTACGGAGCCTCCCCTGCCCCCAGGTTTGCCCCTACCACGACTCTCGAAGCGTGTGTTGAGGAGCGCCGATTTCGTCCTGTACAGCAGCGTTTGGCGGCAGTCTCGTGCAGTTGGACCCTACAGTGTCGCGGTTGGATGGCAGGGCTCACTCTGCCGCTGTCAGTATCTTGGCGTTTCCAAGCTCGCTTGTGTGCCCTTGTCGCGGGCAGTTTTTGTTTTCTTTCAGCGCGGTTGATTGGTGGAACCAAAGCAGTTGAACCTGATGAAGGTCCACCACCAGTCTGGGGAAGAGCAGTTGGATGTGTTCGCACTCGGTTCTCATGATTGCGATCGACGGGCTGGCTGCTGCATCATTTCTTGTTATCCCAGGGTGGGAGGAACGCATGTCGGCGGAGGGAAAGGTGTTCTACATAAACCACAATGACAAGAGCACCCACTGGACTCGGCCAGACCCGCCGCCGGTGCAGCCGGACGACTCTCCTGACGATGACGTCCCGTCTGTAGAGAAGGAAGACGTGGAAATGGCGTCGAGATCGATCTCACCAGCGATTGAAACCCCGCACCCTGACCATCCTGGCAGCGGTGACACTGCAGCAACGGCCTCCTCCGCGTTGACCCTCCACTCCCCCGCGCGGCAAGGAGGGATGGCAGCAGCAGCAGTAGCAGCAGCAGCAGCAGCAGCAGCAGCAGCAGCAGCAGACGACGATGACGATAACGGTGTCTTGACCTCGGTGAAGGAACCCCTGCCTAGGGCTACCGGGAGTACCGCCGATGTCGGGGCCGCTGCTGCTACTGTGGTGCTGGAAGAGGTGGCGGACTCGTCTCCGGGGCGTGGAGGCTTCGGCGGCGGCGTGGACACCAACCCCAGGCGGGCCCCTTCGGCTACCGTTGTCGCCGCTGTTGGCGCTGCTGCTGATGAAGAGCCAGAGGCGTCGTCCTCGGGGAAAGCAGCGGAACCGATCACAGACGATGACGACGATGCCGCGAGACGGCGAGAAGGAGGAGAAGGGGCGGGGGCGGTGTCTTCCATCGTCACGTCCGGTCTGTTCGGCGCCACCGTCGTGCCTCTGTACGCCAGTAGGGCCGGTGGCGTCGCGGAGGCCGCCGCCGCTGCTACTGCGGAGAAACACAAGCCGGAGCTGGAGGAGCCGGAGGTTGATTCGCTCCCGGAAGGTGCGAAGCGGAATGGGATGGCTCGGCGACTGGATTAGCTTCTTTTTCCTTATTTTTGATTAACACAATTAATAGATTCCTTTCTATCCAAGATAAAGGGGCCAGGGTGAAAACTTTGTTTACCTCACGGTTAGGCTGACTCTCATGGTCAACCAGAATTGACCCGGATGGATTTTGTTTCAGTCTGTACACGAAATCTCCAAGATCCGGACCTATCACCACAGTGTTCTCCCTCCCTGATGGTCGGATCGCTACAAATCATTGAAGGCTGTACACACCACACCCTCAGGCTTCTTTGAAGCCTGTTGTGACTGCTGTGGGGTCTGTGTCGTCCGAAAAGCTTAAATCCGTGTAGAGATTTCGTCCACAGCTGTACACGGGAAAAAGGGGTAAACTCCATTTCCGTTTCCGTCGGACTTTTTGTTATGTTTGTTTGCTTGTGTACTGTTTTGTGTGTTTCCAGGGTGGATTGAGCTCAAAACGGCGGCGGGCAAGACGTACTACCAGAACAGCATCTCCAAAACTACCCAATGGGACCGACCGGAACCGACCAAGGCCGTTGCTGCGCTGAAAACGGCCACCTACAACGCCACGTCTTCTCCCGCCGGAGGAGGAGCAGCAGGTAAGACAAGAGATGCATGCGAGACCCACAGACTGACAAATAAAGTAGACCTTTGAGGAGGGGCAGTAGGTTCGGCAAGAAGGGAGAACCACACACCGGCAAAACACTGTTAAATAGCAGAGACGATAAGAGACGATAAAGGGGGGCAACACGTGAGGTGCTGGCTTGAAACATGTTGGAAGAAAGGGAAATAAATGACGTGTGAACCGGGAAGCTCGAAGCTCTTGTCTACTTCATGCGGTGGTTCATACCCTCTTCCGCGAGTCTCTGGCTTGGCTGGCTGACCCTTGCCCGCGAAATAGCGTCCCGCCCCCATCTCTATGCTGCCACTCCCGAACGCTACTTGTACCTCTGCCACCTGTGTGTGTGACGCCTCTCCTGCGTGTATCTACCCCGAGCAGCCGAAGCAGGGTGGGAGAAGGTCATGACCGCAGACGGACGACCGTACTTCCAGAACACCATCACAAAGACAACCTCCTGGCAGCAGCCAGAGGGCTGGGTGGAGCCAGGAGCAACGGCTGCATCGGCGGAGGCTAAGACAGCGGTGGCCAGCCACGGGAGCTTCTTCAAGAGCGGCGGAAGAGGTTCCGCCGCCGCGGTTAAGGAGCTGGGGGTGGAAGCCCCGGCGGAGACGGACGCTGTGGCCGTTGCGCCTACTCCCATCGGACGTGTAGGTAAGGGGAGGGCAGCCATAAAAGAGGGGAATGCCGTTTTCCGGCAAGAAGAAGGAAATGTTTGCGTGGGGGCTACGGCGCAAGTTTTAGTTGTTAGGGGGGCTGAAAATGGGGTAGCGAAGCACCCTGCCGTTCAACGGGGGTAGCTGCGGCGGTGGCGATGTTGGTCTGTTTGGCGTTTTGTAGGCAACGGGTTTCCAGTTGCGCGGTCATGCGTTGGAGAGCGGGCGGGCGGACGGGCGGGCGGGCGGGGCACACAAACATGGCGTCAGGTTGTTCGTAAAGGGTGTAGGACAGAAAGGTTACAGTATAACACGTGCGTCCATCCAAGCTTGATGGTGGTGTTGCCGATCCGGTTGCATGGCTGGCTCTTTTCGGACTGCAGTCGTCGACAAATTGGCTCTGCTTCGTGCCTCTCCTCGCCCGCTCGATGTCTGTCTAGAGAAGGTGCTCTCGGCTTCAGTCGTCGGTCTGCTCTTTTGTAGAACACGTCGATCGGCTCGCGATTGGTTTGATGCCTGACGTGGTGGGAGGACGGGTGTGGGGGCTGTACTCATAGTCGTGCATGCCGTAGTCGTTAGACCATTGACCTCGCATCCCTACAAAGCCGGGACGGAGCACGCCGGGTTCCCACCGGACCAGGCTCTCACATCACCAAGCGCGAAGCGCCGTGAGATATTCGGCGAGTCGCATGAAGGGTGCGCTGCATCGTGCTAAGGGTGTTCGGCATCTTGTGCTTACTTCCTTGCGTACGGATGACAGCGGCGTATGGTGGGAGGACGGGGGGGGGGTCGTCTCCCGAAGTTGGCAACGACGACTTCCTATTTCTCGGGACCTCTTCTCTAGACTCGTGGACGTTGATAGTTTTGTTTGCTCTGCTCTGTCTGCGTCTTGGCGTCTTCGTCGGTCGTTGAGCTTGCTCGTTGAGCTACATTTCGTCGTCGTTTTAACCTCGTGGGGGCATGTTGCCTTGTTCCCTCGGTCGCTTGCCACAAAAATGTTTTTTGTTTGATGCAGGTGGGCCGGCTGCGTCGTCCACGAGATCGACTCCTGTACCAAAGGCAGAGGCGCAAGAGGCGCCGCTACCCCCAGGTTTGTTACAACCACGGCGCCCCCTTGGAGGCTTGGTTACGGGACTGTAGAGTCCAGGCACGCCTCGCAAGCACAGAAAACCGGAGCCCGTAACAAGACAGCAGTGTAGCACCCAGCAGTAGAGCTGCTGGACGGATGGCGAGAAATACACATGGATGACCACCCCCCCCCCCCCCCCCC